CCAACTGAGCCAAAGAACAGCCAAAAAGCTGGAGACGAGGATGGGGACATTGGTGACCCTCCTACGGAAGAAGGCGCAGTGGACGAGGCACAGCAGGAGCGGGAGGATTTAGCTTTCAGAGCCAAGTACAACTTTGGTAAAGGTGCATCAAAGGGTGAGTCGGTGTCAGTCGAGCCAAAGAGGCAAATGTGTCTGTATTACAGCCAAGGGGGTTGTAAATATGGAAATTCTTGCAGATATTCGCACGATGAAAAAGCGGTTTTGGAAGGGACTTGGGAACCCGGCAGATCCTGGGACAATGCGTCTCGGAGGGCCCTAAGGGAAGCAGGGTTCCATCATTGCTGCTTCGACTACTACCTCAAAGGGAGATGTCGTGTGCGATATGGTTGCAAGTATTCCCACGAAGAAATGTCTGAAGAGCGACTGGCCCAATTGAAGCATCTGGTGAATGTGGCGAACCATGTTTCGTTTCAAAGAGGAAGAGGATTGGAGATTTCCGACAGGAACACCTTTCAACCACCGGTAAGTGGGGGAGCGGAATCTTCATCATCTTCGGCACCACAGGCGTTGCAAATGACCAATGTGTCAAAGAAAACAGGTGAGGGTGATACACTGGATGGAGCAGATGGAGATGTACAAAAGGATTATGTGGCAGAGTCTACCACGGTACGTCTTCAGAATCCTGAAGAGCCAATAGAACATTGGATGGCTCGCAACAAACACTTGTGGGTGTATACACCTCACGTAAGTGATGTTATGATCAAGCTTGGTGTAACCAATGTCAGAGAGCTACAAGAGTATATCTTTGTGGAGGATTTGGTGGACAAAGGAGTTAACAAGGTGACGGCCTGCAAAATTCTGCAATTGGTGGGTGGTGTTCAGTACCGGCCAATGTCGCCGGATGTGGCTGTTTCTACCAACGCATCGGTACGCATGGAGCAATCTTCTGGAAGCCGTGAAGCTGGAAATGATGGGGTGAGAACTATCTCTCAGGTGCGTGAAGCTGAAGGTCCTGGTACAAAGGAGATGCCGCGAGGGTCTTATCGAGAGATTTTCGACACGGGCAAGTGCTGTGACGCTTGGACGCTTGGACGCTTGCGCAGAGATCCCCGCTGTGCGTGCAGAGGTTGCGATTGGTGGGAGTTGGAATGCCACCGGTGAACCCGCCAACAAAGGCGTATCGGTCAAGATCAAACCCTGTGAAAAGGGGAAGGCCCTTGCTGGATAAAAAACAGGTGCGACAGGTGCCACGCTCTCGCTCACAACGGCGTGTGCAGCCAGCGGAAGTGGTGGAAAAGCCAAAGCCGCTGGAACCAGTTAAGCCCCGTGGTGGTTTGGCAGATTTGGTGGGTGATGATGATCAGACGGGAGCTTTGGTCTCCTATGCAGATTCCTCAGGTGATTCAAGCGAGGAAGAAACCAACAGCGCGCGACACCTGAGGGAAATCTTTTTGCGAGAAAGGGATTCACAAAGAACTGCGACGCGTGGCAATGTTCCACTTGCTGGTTCTTCAAGCTCCAATGATGGGCAGAAAAAATCGGTTCACCTTGGCGAAGGGCGCGACAAAGCGTCGCGGGGGGAGACCCGCCAAGAAGTGACTTCTCAAGTTTTTTCGCTACCACAACCTTCTCGTTGAACTGAACAGTCTCAAAAAAGAGCAAGGGATGGCTCAGTTATAGTTGGTTCGCTGGCGGAACGCTGATTCAGTCGCCAACAACTGATTGGGTTATGCGTCGCGGTCTGACCGATCGTACCATCTGGCCGGCAATAGCGACTGCAGCGCAGAGGATATGTGCTGAAATGGTTCAAGTGGATGAACTGAATGCCCAGCTGGAGACTGGGACACTCCTTTTTCAAAGGAGAGATCAAGGACATTATGGTGATTTGCATCATTCGTTCCATGATAATCCGTGTTTGCCAGCGGTGGGAAATTATCCTCTTTCGGTGATGGGTGCATTGCTATCTCCTGGTCTGGAAGGGGAATTCAGGAATACAGAAAAGTTTGGAACTGCTATGGAGGCAATTGCCTACGATTGGAGTCGTAGTCCAGGCATGGAAGTTCACGTTGAACTTATGGCAAGGGTAGCCAAATTGGTTGCTCCGTTCCTTACCCTAGGAGGCCAAGGGTCAGTGGTGAATTCAGAATTTCTCTGGCAGCGCGGGAAGGCTCAAATGATGGAGTTCCTTCAGGCGGCGACATGTGCTGATCAATTGGAGGTTCTCTGGAACAGGATGGACGACGATGCTGATGAGGAAGTGGATCCTTCAGGGATGATGCTGGAGATTCTCGGACAGAAAGATGCGGTACTTGATCAAGGGATCAATGAACCCCCTATTCCCATTGAAGATGCTGGAGGTGAGACAATTGGTGACACTGGAAGGGATGGCAAAGCGCCAGAAGTTTCTCCAGAAGAGGAGACATCCAGTGGTTCGTCAAGATTGGCTGGCACAAGGATGTTCTTGTGGTCGGTGTATTCTCGTGTCGCTTCCAACTGGGATTTCTCTACGCAGGACCGCACTACTGGTAGGATCTTTGACAGCACGAAGGGGTATCCTGGTGAAGGACCGGATAATGGTGACGATTTTTCCTCTAAGAGGAACTTACCCTGGATCTCTGAAGATTACCTCGACGAAGTGATGTCAAAAAAGATGGAAAGGTCTTCAGATATGGATGGGTTGGATGGGTTTGTTCCGGGAAGTGAGGGACAGTCGGAAAAGGTAGAGGTGGAGAATGTTACTGCCTCTAGAATTCTTATGGCTCTTTGGAAAAAGGGATATAGAGCTGGGTATAGGAGGTTGTGTCGTTCGAATGTATCTGGATGCAAGGTTGGAGCAATGAAACATCCAATCAAAAGGGTGCAGAAGATCGGCACTAGAAAGGCCTTCGTGAAAATATTCAATGCTTTTGGATCGTCTCAGCATGGCTCAGGAGTTGGTGGAAAACCAATCATGAAGGTGGTAGGACCGAGGCCAGGTTTTCCAGCTGTACTCAAAGCATCAAATACTGATAGCACCTTGGGTGAAGGGAGCAGTTCTCAGGTACATGGCAATGTTCATGTAGAGCAGAATCGCCCTATGGACCGGTGCGAGGCGGAGCGCTTGGAGAAGAGGAAGAAAGGCTTCTGCTATTGGTTCAGCAGGGGAAAAGATCGCTGCAAATTTGGTGAACATTGCAAATTCATCCATTCAGAAGATGATGTGGTGCTACAATCATATTGGTGCAAGTACTATGTGGCTGGGAGACACTGCTTCTCTGGAAAGGACTGTAAGTTCTCACACAATGCAACTGGTGTAAGGTGTATCCAGTTTGCTCAGTCTGGGAAGTGCCGTGCCGTTATGGGGACAAGTGTGTCTTTGAGCATGGTGATCCGCTGGATGAACAGAGGCCAAGGTCTCCAAGGACGCCCCCAAGGGATGGTCCAAGGAGAAGTTCTGGTACAAGAGGTGGAGGAAAGGAGATCTCTCCTGAACGGTTTGATGAAGAAGAGGAGGATTTCATGGTTTATGACGATGATACCAAAATGGTAGAACTGCTGATGGAGGCGATTTCATTTATGTCCAATGGCAAGTCAGATTTGGCTCGTGCAGAGGCGGACCCAGTGTTCAAACTCCTGAAGTTCAATGGAGACGCTGAACAGATGGATACAGAATGGTGTTCGTGGACCACTGGTGTGCTGTCCTTGCTGGAACTTCACGAAATAGTGAAGTCGTATGAGGTTTCGCTGGCGGACGTGGAAGAATGGGTCAATGACCTGAGGATATGGTTCGAGCGAGCCAACGTTGAAGAAGAGAGAGATCCCAAAAGGGGCAAAAAGAGGTCCCTAGAAAGGGAGTCCAGCAAGGATATTCCTGCCGAAAAGGAGGTGGTTGGAACTTCGGAGACGGATGTTGCCGTTGAGGAAGAGGTAAAAAAGGTCAAAAAGAAGAGGAAAACTGCAGCTAGCGAGGATCCTTATACTCTTATGGTTCCAAAGCCGAAGAAGATGCCGGCGAACATTGAGAAGGGTGGATCATCATCCAATGCGGTGGTTTCTGCAGGGGAAAAAGCCTCTTCGAGAACGCGCGCAAAGTCAAGCGTCGTGGGAAAGACGAAGAAGAAAGAGAAAAGTCAAAGCCCCAAGAAGGAAGAGGTGGTAGTGGTGAAAGGTCTTGAGGAAAAGGATCGTTCCTCTGATGTGGATGCGCAAGCGTCTACTACTGTGGATGCAGAGCTGGGTCAATCTTGCCAAGCAATTGAGGACGCGAAGAGAGAAGGATTGGTATCCTCAATTCAAAGGTGCGTGCAGGATCCTGTTCTTACAGTGTCGGACCTGGAGTATGTTCTGCTGCGACTTCACCTAAGCATCGATGCCCACCGGAAGAAGAAGTGACTGGATGGTATTGATGAGGGAATGGTTTTTCTCTTTCTGAAGACAGGTGCGCTGGAACAGCCAATGTGCTGAAAATATGGTGGTTACTATTAAGGGTATGGAAATCCCTGATAGTAGAAGTCAGTAGCTTTTTGCGTAGCGAAGACCACGGTTCGTGGTGAAGAAGACTGAAGAGTCTTCAATGACAAGAGAATCATGGTGAAAAAGGATTCTCTGTGGTAAAAGGTGTTTAGCCAATGTGCTATAAATTCGTCCTGGATGACGTAAAACCATAATGTGCATTCCAAGCAGCTGGCTGCTGCCCTAATGGCAGTTTTTGGCCAAAAGTCTGCACCTCCAATGTGTGTCCTAGGAAATCCTAGGACAGGGGGAGTGCGGAGCTGCAGTTGGTATTGTAGAAAAGAGTTGGTGTTGAAAGTTGAAGGGTCAATGTACCTGGTAATCTTCATGGCTCAAGACTGGGCCATGCGCCTGGTAGCAAAAAAGAGTTTCGAGTTCTTGGTGTTTGCTGGTTGGTTCAGGGTGAAACCTCTGGCGACTGTTAGGGTTGAGATTCTTTCCCTTCCCCTCAGGGCGCAGGGCTAGGGCCTAGGGCCGCTCAAGCTCCGAAATCTCCGAAATCTTCGAAGGCAAGGCCAGACCGACCAAGTCGCCCGTGCTGCCCTCAGAGAGCCATGGCAAAGCATGGGCCTGGGGATGTTCCCCCTAGGGTTTAGGGTTTAGGGTTTAGGGTTTAGGGTTTAGGGTTTAGGGTTTAGGGCCTTTCCGCTCAGTCCTTAATAGGGATTATCGTACTCTCATTTAGAATCCCTAGTAAGGACTGTTAGTATAGGGGGGGGGGGTGCATCCCAACATGGGCCCACCCTGGCCTAGAGTTTCGGGTTTCAGGGCTTGGGGTCTACTTCGAGATGGTTTTTTCACAAAGTACGGTGTGCGCGTTTTGGGGGTGTAGTGTCATAAAAATAGGTTTTCGGGTTGAGGGACACCATGTTGGGGTAGTTTATCTGCTAGAAGGGGTAACCCTCTGCTCTGGGATATGCCCCAAGAATGTGGGGTAGTTTATCTGCGATTGTTTCACGATTGGGGTTTTCCAAGGGGATGGCGTTGAAAATTATTTCGGCTCTTGCGTCTGCTCTACAGGCCCTAAAAGCCCGCAACAACCTAAAAACCCCAAACCCCCAGACACCCAAAAAGTAATACAACAACAACAATAAGAAGAATAATATCAAGAACAAGAACAAGAACAAGAACAAGAACAAGAACAAGAACAAGAACAAGAACAAGAACAAGAACAAGAACAAGAACAAGAACAAGAACAAGAACAAGAACAAGAACAAGAACAAGAACAAGAACAAGAACAAGCACAAGGACAAGAACAAGGACAAGGACAAGGACAAGGACAAGGACAAGGACAAGGACAAGGACAAGGACAAGGACAAGGACAAGGACAAGGACAAGGACAAGGACAAGGACAAGGACAAGGACAAGGACAAGGACAAGGACAAGGACAAGGACAAGGACAAGGACAAGGACAAGGACAAGGACAAGGACAAGGACACGGACAAGGACCAAGGACAAGGACAAGGACACGGACACGGAACAAGGACAAGGCAAAAGGACCACACGCGACAAGTGAAAGGACACGGACAAGGACAAGGACAAGGACAAGGACAAGGACAAGGGACAAGGACAGGACCACACGGACAAGGACAAGAACAACGAAACAGAACAAGCAACAACAACCGCACCACACCAGAATAACAATAAGAACAAGCAGAACAAGAAGAACAAGAGGAAACAAGAGAACAAGAAGAACAAGAAGAACAAGAAGAACAAGAAGAACAAGAAGAAGAACAAGAAGAACAAGAAGAACAAGAAGAACAAGAAGAACAAGAATAACAAGAAGAACAAGAAGAACAAGAAGAACAAGAAGAACAAGAAGAACGAACAAGAACAAGAAGAACAAGAAGAACAAGACAAGAACAAGAAGAACAAGAAGAACAAGAAGAACAAGAAGAACAAGAAGAACAAGAAGAACAAGAAGAACAAGAAGAACAAGAAGAACAAGAAGAACAAGAAGAACAAGAAGAACAAGAAGAACAAGAAGAACAAAGAAGAAACAAGAAGAACAAGAAGAACAAGAAGAACAAGAAGAACAAGAAGAACAAGAAGAACAAGAAGAACAAGAAGAACAAGAAGAACAAGAAGAACAAGAAGAACAAGAAGAACAAGAAGAACAAGAAGAACAAGAAGAACAAGAAGAACAAGAAGAACAAGAAGAACAAGAAGAACAAGAAGAACAAGAAGAACAAGAAGAACAAGAAGAACAAGAATAACAAGAATAACAAGAATAACAAGAATAACAAGAAGAACAAGAATAATAAGAAGAACAAGAATAATAAGAACAATAACAAGAACAAGAACAATAACAATAACAAGAACAATAAGAACAAGAACAATGAGAACAATAACAATAACAAGAACAAGAACAAAAAGAACAATAACAATAAGAACAAGAACAATAAGAACAAGAACAATAAGAACAATAACAAGAACAAGAACAAGGACAAGAACAAGAACAATAACAAGGACAAGGACAAGGACAAGGACAAGGACAAGGACAAGGACAAGGACAAGGACAAGGACAAGGACAAGAACAAGAACAACAACAACAACAACAACAACAACAACAACAACAACAACAACAACAACAACAACAATATGAATAAATTGATGAGCGCGCAAGGGGTCGGTCAGAGAGGCTCGCTTTGTAAGCATGAAGCGCGACGCGCGAAGCTCGAAAAACTTGAGACCTCAAGTCTCAAAAGCGAAGCTCACGAGCCTCAGACGTCAGGCGATGCGGGCGAATAGGAGAAGCTAGCGAAGCTGCAGAGCTTCAGACTTCAAGCTTCGAAAGTGGAGCTCGCGAGCTTCAGCGTCAAAATTCAAAAGGCGAGGCAGCCTAAAAGGCGAAGCTCCCTCCCGAGCTTCAGACTTCAGGCCTCAAAAGGGAAGCGTCGGAGCTTCAGGCTTCGAGACTCAAAGCAAAGGCTCATGAGCTTCAGGATGCGGTCTTCACAAGAAGGTCGCGAGCTTCCGAGCTTCAGAAGCTTCACCCGCTTTGCGAACCAACCTGGGCGTACCCTCAGTTCAACAAGAACCTCAAGCACCCAAAAAGAGCACAGAGAGCGCAAAGCCCTTTGCTTGAGGCTGCTTTGTCGGCGTCGGCGTCGGCGTCCGTGGACTCTCCGATGAACGGCTCCGGGGCCTTGGATGCCAGCTCGAGCCAGGTGGGGGTTCAAGGGAAGGGTTTAGGGTTTAGGGTTTAGGGTTTAGGGTTTAGGGTTTAGGGTTTAGGGTTTAGGGTTTAGGGTTTAGGGTTTAGGGTTTAGGGTTTAGGGTTTAGGGTTTAGGGTTTAGGGTTTAGGGTTTAGGGTTGGGTTGTAGGGTTTAGGGTTTAGTGTTTAGGGTTTAGGGTTTAGGGTTTAGGGTTTAGGGTTTAGGGTTTAGGGTTAGGGTTTAGGGTTTCGGGTTTAGGGTTAGGGTTAGGGTTGGTTTTAGGGTTTTAGGGTTTAGGGTTAGGTTTGAGGGTTTTGGGTTTAGGTTGAGGGTTTAGGGTTAGGGGTTTAGGGGTTAGGGGTTAGGGGTTTAGGGGTTTAGGGGTTTAGGGGTTTAGGGGTTTAGGGGTTTAGGGTTTAGGGTTTAGGGTTTAGGGTTTAGGGTTGAGGGTTGAGGGTTGAGGGTTGAGGGTTGAGGGTTGAGGGTTTAGGGTTTAGGGTTTAGGGTTCAGCAGCTCCGGGTCGAGCAATCTCCAGTAGAGCCGCTGTTTGGGCTTTCGAAAAAAACCCACCCAGCATTCAGAAATAAAAAGTTTACATTTTTCATCAGCAAGCCTGTCCTTCGCCAGAAGAAGGAGCGGGGGGGGAGGGGAGGGGGGAGGGGGAGGGGGGGGGAGGGGGGAGGGGGAGGAGGGGGGGGGGGGGGGAGGGGAGGGGGAGGGGGGGGGGGTTGGAGGGAGGGGGGGGGGAGGAGGGCGGGGGGGGGGAGGTGGGGGGGAGGGGAGGGGGGGCGGGGGAGAAATAGGGTTTAGGGTTTAGGGTTTAGGTTTAGGGTTTAGGGCTTAGGGTTTAGGGCGTCTCGCCGCGCAGCGGCAGTACATAAGTGCCATGTGTAAATGGCGCCCCTACACACCCAGAATTTGTGGGGGGGCGGCATGTCATGCGAAGGCATCTGTTGTCAGACCCAAGATTTCAGCATTTTCGGGTCAGGGTCCAGGAACCCTCCCCAGAGGGGGGCCAGGGGGTCCAGGGTGGTGGAATTGTGAGGGGAACATCCTGTCTAAATATGGGCGCCACTCTGGTGGCCTAGTGGCAAGGCGAGCCCTAGGGGCTCTCTATTTGACCATTCTCCAATGGCTCCACCCACCCATCACTGCCGGGTATCTTCTGGGTCCAGGCACCCTAGAAAAGGGTGGGTACGGCCTAAGCAGGCCGGATGGGAATTTAGGGTTTAGGGCTTAGGGTTTAGGGTTTAGGGTTCAGCATCTCTGATCCAAGCATTCACTAAGGGTGTTTGGCATCACCCCATCCACCCAGATCCCTTTCATTTGGCAACCCTATTTACCATTTCAATTCTTATTGCCTAAGTCCCTTGAACCTTAAATCCAAAATCCTGCTCCCGCAATGGAAAGTGCTGTTTTTTAGTATTGGAATCGACGGTTTCGGGGCCCCACCATTTTACTCCAAAGCACCACCACAGCCCCAAAAAAGCTTTAAAACACCCTAAAAGGCTTCAAAAAACCCCCAAAAAACGTTGAACCCAGGATTTGCCTGGCCCCGCAATGAATAATGCTGTTTTTTTAATACTGAAATCGACGGTTTCGGGGCCCCTTCATTTTACCCCAAAGCACCACCACATCGCCAAATAGCTTTCAAAAGCCCCAAAAGGCTTCCAAAACCCCCCAAAAGGGGGTGGGCCCGGGATTTGCTGCTCCCACAATGAAAAGTGCTGTCTTTTAGTAATCGACGGTTTCGGGGCTCCTCCAGTTTACCCCCAGAGCACTACCACAGCAGCTTCAAATAGCTTTAAAAAGCCTTAAAAAGCTTCAAAAAACACCCCAAAAAGGTGGAACCCAGGATTTGCCTGGTCCCGCAATGAAAATGCTGTTTTTTTAATACTGAAATCGACGGTTTCGGGCCCACCATTTTGCTCCAAAGCACCTAGGATTTAGGATTTAGACTTTAGAATTTAGGATTTAGGATTTAGGATTTCGGGTTTAGGATTTGGGATTTAGGATTCAGGATTTAGGATTTAGGAACCACGAGAGTGCAAAATCACCAGACGACCCCGTTAAGGTTTAAATGAACAAATAAATAAATAAATATAAATATAAATATAAATATAAATAAATAAATAAATAAATATATATATATATATATATCTCGGTAGAGAGTGTTTAGGGTTTAGGGGTTAGGGTTTAGATTTAAGGTTTAGTGTTTAGGGTCCCAAAGACAGGTGTCCCTATATGCATAGAATTGGTAGGCATATCCATGCAAGCAACAACACAGGTTTTTTGTTGTTGTTAGTCTGTCCTGTCATACATACACGCAGCATCTGACAGAGACAAAGGCGAGAGACAACTACAAGAGCAGCAATGTACATATATATATATATGTATATACATATATGTGTGTATACATATATATATATATATAGAGACCCCTCCCCCGCAGGACCACCTTCACATATGCGTGGCTATGAATATATGCGGCATTTTCCTTTTGTGGAAATGCCAGAGACCATGGTGACCTAGAGGTGTGGTGCATGCAAACAACCCCCCCCCCCCCCCCCCCAAAAAAAAAAAAAAAAAAAAAGAAACTTCTTGCCCAACAAGACCAACACAACAACAGAACACCCAAGCACACACCAACAAGAAACCAACAAAAAACCAAGAACCAAAGACATAAATATAGAGGACTCATATCTGGGACCTCGTATCTGGGACCTGGTCTCTGTACTAATGCTCATACTTTGAAATAAATGTTGTTGGTTCCGGAATTTGTGCCCAGGATTTTGGGTTTTAGGGTTTTTGTTTTTGGGAGCAAGTATGCTCCATGTTTCCTTACATGGAGCTGCCGGGGCTATGGTGGCCAAGAAGCGTTGGTCTCAGATTGTTTTGGCTATTTCGGTTTAAATAAATTCAGCCCCGGTGATGAGGAGGCAGGGTAACCTAGAGGGTAACCTAGTGTAAGGCTAAGTGCATTAAAATCATCTACTAGCAAGATGCAATGACTGTTATGAATACAAGTCTGCCCCTCAGATCAGAAGTGAGGATGGCAGCACGGTGTAAAGGACTAAATAGGGTTTTCATGGTCAGGCAAGTCGTACCTATTTAGTTGAAGAGGTAGCGCTTCGTTGTTGTACAAGTCTGCCTTCAGATTCGTAGCATAGCGCGGGGGAGCTAATCTATTCAAGGACCAACTAAACTACCTAGTCTTTAGTGAGGCTGCAGTGATATTTTTGTACGCACAATGTAGCTCGTCTTTCATTAGAATGGAGTCGCATTTAATTGGTATTTGATCAGTATTGTGCCTAGCGAAAGCATGATTTGCCCTCCCCCCCGAAAACAATGCCCAGAAGAAAAAGGGAAGCCCAAAATCGAAAGTTGTAATCTGTAGTTCGTGATTTTCAGTATTTTAAGTGTATTTGTTTCATGTTGTAGGGCAATCAGTATTTATATGTGTTCATGCACTGACTACTGAGTTCGTGGTTAACTTGCATGCAACGAATGTAGTAAGATGTAAGAGTGGGTTCGTAATTAGTATGTATTTCGTATATAATAGGTACTAGAGCACCATTTTGCATAGTGGAGGCACTATAATCAATCATGAACAGATATTTTAGGTAAAATCTCGCCTTGCGATCGGACATGAATTCTCGTATGCTCCACACCCGAAACACGTCCCTGTCATACCGTCCATTCTTAAGCTGTCAAAACCGCTAGGTCAGGGTAGTAGATGATACCAGAACATTTAGCATGTTCTATTTCAAGCGTTGTTCTGTCCTATTCTGTTCTGTTCTATTCCAGTGTCATTGTGTTTTGTACTATGCACCCCAAAGTAGGGGTCCTCCACAATAGCCCCAAAGTTCGACATGCCTCATGAAAGGACGTCCCAAAATAGGTACCCCTGATGTTCGGAAACCGCCAGGTCAGTGCTTCTTGCAACGAGATGAGCATTGGCATGGACTACAGCGTCGAGCTTTCGACAGAGCACCATGTCAGACAATGGCAATCGCTGCTGGTATCAGCTGCTGGCACACGGATTCTCAAGGGCAGTCGTCATGTGCTTCTAGAAAATGAGTCGTGTCATGATACTTGTGCAGATCTGAGGCTCGACGAGAAGTGCGACTTCGTTGAGGTGGTGAGACCCGTCGCCAAGCGAGGAGCAGGCTTGTCGAACACTGTGGGCACCATTGAAGAAGCCGCAGAGGAAGAGGAGCCCGTCCGAGACCGCAGCGCCGACGAGAAGTCGGTGAAGTTCGAGGCAAAATCCGAGGCGACAAGCCTGAAATCCGCACCGGACGCCTTGGATGCCTTGGATGCCCTGATGCCCAAGGGAGAATCGGAAGCCAAGGCGAAAGGTGGCGATGCCTTGGATTCCCTGCTCAGCTCCAAGCCTGGCCCGCCAAGCTCCACGCCCAGCTCCCCGCCTGGCCCTGGCAACGTCCTCTCGCCCAAGGCGAAGGAAGCGGCCAAGGAGGCGAAGAAAGAGGAGACGAAAGAGAAGGACGAGGATGAGTACGCAGATGCTTCGTTCGATGGCAGCATGTCTGTGCCGGAATCCATTAACGAAGAGGAAGGCAGTGGCAGTGATGCTTGGGGCAGTGAGGAGGATGTGTGAATCCTGCTTGCGCCCCGCCTGAGAACTTTGAAAAGTGCATCAGCTCGTCGTGCTCAACGTCACATCGACGTGCGTCGACCTTGAATTCAGGATGCGTGCGACTCAAACTGCATGGCGAAGAAAAAGCTGCACGTGTGCGCGCCTAACACGCAGAGAGGAACTGAGCATGGTTGCATGCTTGAGTCGCCGCCTCCATGTTCTCAAGTCCACTACAAGCAAGCAGCATGTCACAGTGCGATTGTTGGTGTAGCTTGTCAAAAGCCCTTCTCGCGGTTGCCAAAGCCTCACTTCTCCGTACAGTTGGAACGGCTGCTACGGGTATGCATGCCAGAAGCCGTGTGTGGATCTGCACGGCGGGCGTGCAAAGTCTGAGAGGCTCCTGTGTCTCGCCATGACTGCATAGTTGTGCTATGACTGCCGAAGCTGGAGGGCGCCTTGCTGGAAGCCGCGCGAGCTCGAGTTCAGGCCATCCTGAGCAACAGGCCCAGCAGGCCCAGCAGGCCCAGCATGGGCCGGTTAGCTCTAATGCCTTTTTGTGCGATACCTTGCTCACGGGAAGCTCTCTTTGCGAGGCCCTGGCTTCAAGCGGCTCTGCAAAGGCACTTCTTTTGGCATCTGCTGGGGCAATGGATGACATATGCTGTCATTTAGGTAGTTGGAGGAGCAGTGGGTGCCTTGTGCTTCTCTCAGTTCTGTGTTGACCCTGGACAGAGAGATGCAAAGCAACAGGCAGTTGCTGGTTTTAGGTATCATCATGAACAAATTGCTCAGGTTGCTGCTGATGTTCCACATGATTATGGTGGCTCACCTGTATTGTGTAGCTAGGAGCAAAGGACTTCTCCTTGCATGAGGTCACGCAGCGAGAGCAGCAGGAGCCTTCCGCAGGGGTTTTTGGCATGAGCGCTCCAGCAGCTTTTGAAGATTTTGAAGTGCCGCGTCTGCAGGACAGGATGTCTCGCGAGAAGATTCAGTCTCTGCAAGAGGAGGCCTTGGGCTTGGGATGCTTTCAGGCTTGCCGGAAGAGCTTCCCCGCTTCCCCAGGTTCTGCAACTAAAGACGCGCTTGCGAGAGGCCCTGCAGGGTGTGCATCGCTGATAAAGGTCCAGTCTGCGCACGTGTGTTCACAGGTCGAAATGGCTCGATTCAAGGGCAAGTGCGGACCTTACCTGCGCCGCTGCGCCGCTGCGCCGCTGCGCCGCTGTGCCGTGCCAGCTTGCACTTCGACCCGTGCAAGAGGCCAGCGCCGGCTGTGGAATGAGCTGCGGGGCAATGGACATGGCGTGGCTGGATGCTCGCCGTGCTCGCCACTTGCGACCCAAACACGAGAGCGACGTGAGCATGGTCTTACGGGGACCGTATGAAGGTCCTCGAAGCAAGAGAGCGAACCGAGAGAACATGAGAGAACCTAGTGCTGCAGATGGGCGTTGGAGTCGCTGGTGCGCTCCGACTCCGACGAGACTAGATTGCGGCTTAGGATCTTGAGCGCATTGGCTTGAAATAGAAAAAGAGCAGTATATCGTTTGCAGCGTGCATTGCACAAGTTGGAGCCAGCTGAATGTGATGTCTTCAGTGTAAATTTGCCACATGTGGCCATTGGTGTGCAGCCAAAAGTTGCATGTACATACTGAGCATGATGAGACGCACAGAGAACCATCAACCCAGCTTTATCGGTGGCCACGACACTGGGCTGCTATCTTCTGAGTTTGTTTTGCTATAGAGGTACTATAATGTTTAGATAAAAATTTAAAATAGGCCAGAGTCGGCCAGAGAGCCCGCCAGCCTGGCTCATTCATCATGGCCTCACAATCCGCATTGGGCTCAGGGGGTAACTCGAATGTGCTTGGCAGTTCGTGGGTAGCCAAAGCCGGGTAAATCATAGGGTGCCTACACTTTTCAGCTGATTGCGTTATTGGCGCGGGCAGCGCTAAAGAAGCAACAGAACAACTATGGAGGTTAGGTGGTACGCAGAAACCCTCCGTGCGTATGGTTGTCCTTCATTCACGTGAGTGGGTGCTCAATGTCCATGCCGCACAGCAACACACAGCATTGGCATAACCGTGCATAACCTTTGCCAAAGGCATCTAAAGGCCATCATGGTCACACACCGAAGCGTGAAACAAGCAATCAGGGAAAACACCGCCGCTCGCATGACAAAACGCAAACGACAAATCTACGTAGGGGCGCCCGCACGCAACGCTTGCATGGGGGCGCGTTCCGCTGCGCCGTAACCTCACTTTAGGCTCCGCGAAACAAGTAGCTATGAACCTTCCAGTCAGATGTAGAGTGGCGAAGTATCTTTCGGGTTTGGGAAGGTGTCTGTGCAGGCATTTGACATGGTTGATGTGCCTGCGCATGCATGGTCCCCCCCGCCCCTTCCCCCCTGTGCAAGGTAAAAGAGGTGTTGGGGGAGAGCTTGAATATTTATGTCTCCGGACTGCCGGGGCCTTGGACCAGGCATTTTCTTCTTAGGGACGACTCAGCTTTCTGGCACCGGCGAGGTTCAAAGCGGAGTACTCTCACCCGTTTATGAACATCGATGCCATTGTCGTACCAGACAGTGTCCGGGGCTTGGCCCCAGGTCGAAGACGGAACATGTCGACAAGTTGGATCAGGGGAGTGGCTCTCGGAGGTCAAGCCAATCCCTCCGCAGTGGGTGAACGACGTGGAGCTGGATGAGTTTGGGCAGCTACCTCGGGTTCATCTCGCTTACCATGCCAAGGCTTGGCCCTCCTAATTTGGGCTGTCAGGGCTGAGATGGGTGACGTGATCGGGGAGGGTCCCGTCCTCGCCTGGAGCACCGAGGATCTGCGCAAGTTGCATCAGGGTTTTTGGAAACTTAATTTCATTCAAGTTCATTTACTGTTGTTTGATTGTTCTTTTTGACTTTTCTTTTTGTTAACGACGTGGGAGGAACGCAAGCAGCGTTACCAGCATGCCCTGCGCAGACTGGACCTCAACGAGGCGAGTCATCTCAGCGGCTTGCAAAGTACCGTGAACGGAGCCCAGAGCCTCGTCAGGAGATGCTCAGCTCAAAGCGGATCACGCTCATGAGTCCCATTCCCAGCTGAGCTGCGTGGCACTCGTCCACCTTGGCTTGACTTTGTACAGGTTTGCTCAAACAAAGCCATGTCTTGTCGCGTCGAAGCCAGAGCAAGTACTAAGGCAAAGGAGAGCTTGGTCAAGAAAAGAAGCGTGTGAAAGCGGACTTGAGCTCAGTGGGGTTTGGAAGACTCTCGGACTTGGTGAAGCCCTTGGCAACGAAGGAGCTGAAGCGCTATGACACTGATTGGAAGAAGCAGCACAGAGCACAGTTTCTCTGCGCTGCCAGCTGCCGCTCATGAGCTGTGCATGACTGGCTGAGGTTCAAGGTTCTTCCAAACCACTCTCAGAAGGAGGTCATGCGACCGCTATACCTCTACTACAGGCGGCAAGACTGTTTCTTTCCGTCATTCTACCCGTGCATAGTTTTCCACCGAACCGGATGCGAGAGGCGGCTGAAAAACCAGCTCGCCACAGCTGACTCAGGAGCTCGAGGTGCAGTGGCTGTGTGCTTGTTGTTACGGTATGTTATGGTGATGCCGGCGGTGTTTTGCTGTTTGCTACCTGTTACTAAGCTGTGTAGTGTTCTGCGGGCTTAAGGGCTCGCCATGTGCTTCGCCATGTTGCGCCCCCTGCATCAGATGACAGTGACGACGACCTCCTTGGGAGGCGCATTACCTGTAAGTGTTGGGGTCCCGTGCACTGGAATGTTCCACGCTCCAGGCAACCTGGACCGGAGAGCGCGTTCGAGTCCCAGAGGGACTCAAGGGTTTGCAAAGAGTTTGCGAAGAGTTGGCAAAGAGCCGCGCTGTTCTCAAGTCGAGGCGGTCCGGCAGGCTGGATCCTGAGCTTTGAGAGCACGAAGGGCAGCACTGTACTCGTACTGATCGAGGCGCACGAACAAAGAGAAGACGGAGCAGCAGATCTCGCAGCTCGAGGCCGCTTTGGGCTTCTGGCAGGATCCCGGTTTGTGTTCTTCGAATGTCAGGCGCGTGCCAATTCGCTGCAGCAAGAGAAAGGCCTGGCAGCTTGCCAGTTTGCTTTCCCAACGACAACATCCTGCGGCTTTCTGGTAGGTGCCATCAGGACGAAGTTGAAGGAGTTCCAAGAAAGCGATCGGCTTAGCAACCATATTGGATCAAGATATGGTATCTTATCATCGGTAGAAAAGGAAGAGGCGACCTGCAAGTATACGGGTCCAGTAAATGACAGAAAACCCAGCAAGGGCCAGCGCAAGCTTTCTTCCATGCACTGCCGTGATGTCATCGACTCTGCTAGACATATGCGAGCCAGTCAGATGCTTTTTGCCGAGACTTTCTTCTACAACATCATCGAAAGATCCGATTTCACAAGGCCTGCGTGGAGCCGAAGGCCACTGAGCGCCCACAAACTGATGCAAGCTACGACCTGAGGACATCCTGCCCATCGAGAAGGAGTACCGGATGTACAAGAACATCAAGGACGAGCTGCAAAAGGCTCCGACCACTTTTTCGGACCCATTTTGCTCTTCGCTTGCCTTGTGCTCGAGCCCTGTCAGGTCGAGATGCAGTTGAGAAGCTTGCGCTTGAGCCCAAGCTAGCAAACTGTTCCGCCTCTTCAAGAAGGGGGCCTCAGCGCCGTTGTGGAAAGGAACACGATGCCAAGGTTCATGATGCATCATGCCGCAGCTTTTTTGGAAGGGGTTTAGAAGTCCACCCTTTGTTCCTCTGGGATCCTGAACATGGCAACTCGGCTGCAGAGATACATGACAAGGGCGAACTTTTCTGGACAACGGAGCGTTGCAAGCCAAGTGGTTTTTTTTGGGAATTCCAGTGCCAGGCCCTTCGTCTTCGAGGTGCTCTCCTGCTGGCAGTCGCAGGGCCCGGCCTTGCTGATTAGGGTCCAGGGCTACTGTAGGCATAAAGTACTCAAGTCATATGATCATAAAAACATTGCAAACGCTTGCGCGCGCCGCCTCGGCCGCCCGGCCAGCCCACGTCCCAAGGGCCAAGAAATTCAAAAAGCCTTGGGCGGGACAGGGCAGGCTCATACGGTTTTCAAGGGTGGGGGTCCGAGGAAGGGTTGCGCACTGTCTGTCCATGGTGCTCCTATGACAAAGCCAGTGCACGCCACTTTTTCGTTGAGTGCGAACACTTTGCTGAGGTACGAAGTGCCTTGCAAACCCAACACGGCGTCCCTTCCTCTTGGTGGGGTCAGCAGCCCCGATGCACCAGCAAATCGGGTCCCAGAGAAGGGTTTCATGGGGCGGGTTTCAGGGGGGGTCTCATTTCTTACATTTTTGGGCACTGACGCCGAGAGGCGGGACCCCCACGGCATCGGTCTTAGGGAGGGCGCGTCACTAAAATCAGTGTGTGGGGGGGGGTTGGGGAGGAAGGAGACCGGATCCTGGTCTGCTTGTTCTACTGGTAGAGTCTAGACGCCTCTCGGCTGGAATCCGAGGCGAAGATTACAATAATACGAGAATATGGCGCAATAAATATTCATGTCGCTGATTCGCCGCGAAGATGCCCACTGCGGGTGTTCTCAGGTCGCTGCGGCGCTGGCCCTGGTGAACTGCACTAGCTTCGTCAACACCGGCATTCAAGGTGCAAGCTGCAGTACTACGGCCGTAGGCCTTACGGGCAGTAAGAGAGGGAGCACCCCTTGCAAACAAATGCAAAAACGGCTTCTCGGGGATTGTTTTGCGACTGCACAACAGCAACTCTGCCTCCCAGAATGCCTCTTCGTGTCGCACAGACCACAGACTCGCACAGCTGGAATATGCTAGAATCAGGAATGCGCGTTTTAGCCCAGGATGATGAATGACAAGCCTCAGGTTGACCATTCAACGCCATTGGTGAAGAGTCCGAAATCCACAAGAGCTCACATAAGTGTTCCCATGAACCTCTGCCTCAGACACTGTGTGCAGTATTGTTTTTTTGGAAGCACAGGCTGCCCCTAAGTCATGTTCGGCATTTCAGGCTTCCAGTGCACCTGCAGCCTTCCCCCCGCAAGAGCGAGGCCGCCTCGAAAGGGACGTCGCGCTGAGAGCGGAGGCGAAGAAGGCTCCTGGGGTTCAGTGCGGTGTGGCAGGGCTTGGCACGGTTCAGCGGATGAGATTTGCTCGTTGCTTTTTGTGGCATGGCGTTTTACATCTTTTTACGCATGTTGCCTGAAGGCTCCAAAGAAGAAGGCCGGGTCCAGCTCGTTATGTCCGCACGGGGTCTGACATCTGATGTCCAGGCCAAGGGCCCATGGGTCGGACCCAAGAAGGGTTCCTGGGTGAAGATCCTGCGCCCCGAGTCCTACTGGTCACTTGGGGCACTGCGGATGTTTTTGGTGTGAGTAGACCCCAGTAGGCCCTCAGTAGGCTCCAGTAGGAAGCTAAACAGTCGAGGTTCCAGACGCGAGGACAGGTGGTGAACGTCAACCAGAAGCCGGAGGTCAAGTATCCAGTCACCGCAGCAGCCATAGATGATCAGGAGAATCTGCGGCAAGCTGCGTAGTCCAGGGTGCTGAGATACCTTGAGCCGAGTCTCAAAGGTCAAGTTCGACCGGGTCAACTACGCAAACGTGAACACCAACGGATTCGCGCTGTGGGAGGCCAGGGCAGCACGCCCATCCTTCTAGACAGGCTGTAAGTGCAGGCTTGGTGGCAGGCGAGTTGTAGACGCTTTCAAGCATGAATCGGATGCACCAGATCAGATCAACTTTTTGTCTCGGACCGGGTCGAAGCTCAAGTTTGAGTCTACCGTCCGTGAAGGTGATCGAGGCGCCTGCCCCGGGTCCAGGTGAGGTCTGAGCCGCCAGACATGACCGACGCGTTTTTGCAGAAAAAATGGAGCAAGCGATGATGTCGAGCTAGTGCACTGAGCACAAGTAAGATCCGTCCGCTGTGGTCCGCACATTGCTGTTGGCCCAGGCGGAAGCACGGTGCTGTGAGCGCCACTGGTGTAGCAAAGCAGCGCGAGCCTCTCACGGCCAAGTCAGTTTCACCTTGTGATCTTGCAAGTGCCAATGGATGCAATCCGGCTTGCAACAAAAGCAAGGGTGGCATGTGCATGATTTGTGCAGAGGGCATGAAGAAGTTTGACAGGTCACGATGGAATTACACTCGGTTTGTGCGCCGCAGAGCATAGCTCAGGAATTGACCCTGAGGCCTGAGGCATGAAGCCCCAGCCAGGTCCTAATCATCCAACTCCTCTCTCCATCTCGGCCGCTGTGAAATCCGCAGGGGCGCGGAAAGACTGGGCGGCCGCCTTGCTTTGCCTCCACGATAGCAAGGCCCTCAAGGCATTGTCTCAGCGATGGCATCCTCTGGCGCTAGCTCCGCCCATGGCTGCGATGGGTGTCTGCGCTCGTGCGAGCGCTTGGACTGGGGCGCTGCAGGTTCTGGATGCTCTTGGTGCTTGTTCGCTGCGCCCGGATCTGTATATTCTGGGCTCAGCTTTAAGTGCATGTGATAGAGGCTACGTGTGGTCCGCGGCTTTGCGTATTCTCAGCAGAGTTGAAACGCATGGGTTGCCGGTTAGCGAGGTACTCGTCAACTCTGCAACAACTGCATGTGACAAGGGCAACCAGTGGACGGTCTCGCTTCGGCTTCTGGCCGACTTTAGAGCAAAGAGATGCCTTGACAGTCTCATCGGATACAGTGCGGCCATGTCCTCCTGTGCTCGCTTCGAGCTGCATTGGGCGCGGTCTCTGGTGCTTTTTGATTGGCTGCAACATCACTTCACCCCGGACATCATCGCATGCAACAGTGTAATGCATGCGTGTGCAACTGGAGCTGCAGTGGCAGTGGCCAGACACACCCTGACAAGAATGCAGCAGCATGGGCCTTCACCTGATCAGGTAACTTTCAACACGTTTCTTATGTCCTTGAGCAACTCCCACGCTTGGTGGCAATGCTTGGAAGTGTTGCAGCATCAAAGGGAGCAGGGTCCTTGGCCATCTGTTGTCACATACAACGCGGTGCTCAGCTCCCTGGGTGATGAAAGTAGTTGGCCATGGAGCTTCGTGTTGCTGGAGGCCATGCGAGGCGACAAGATTGCTCCTGACATCGTAACCCACGGGTCCATAGTGAATACTCTGGCTCGTGCCTCCCAGTCGAGCATTGCAATTTCATTCCTTTCCATGCTTGAGCGCGATCGCGCTGCAACGAACGAGGTGGTCTACAGTGCAGCTGTCTCAGCCTGTGAGGGTGGACGGCTCTGGAAAGAGAGCATTGCTTTGATTGGAAGGGCCAGGCGCAGAAAGTTGAAGATGGATGCCGTCGTCTACGGTGCCGCATGTAGCACGTGTCAAAAAAGCCAGCGCTGGGAACATGCCTTGAGCTTCTTCGAAACTGCACGAGACCAGTCACTGTCGAGCAGCCCCCTCTCCAACGCAGCTCTCTCTTCCTGTGCAGACTCTGCACACTGGTTTCGCGCCTTGCATCTCTTCCGAAGGGCTTTCTCTTCGCAGGTCGAGGCTGACACCACGAGCCACAATGCATGCTTGACAGCCTGCATTCGACGTTGGGAGACGGCTCTGTATCTGTTGGGTTCTGCATCGGGCCATCAGGCTCAGCCCGACACTGTTGGTTTCAACGCAGCACTTGCAGCCCTGGGGGCTGACAGTGCCTGGAGCACATGCACATGGGGCCAGGCGCTGTCTACGTATCGCAGCATGCAGAGGCACGGTGTGGAGACTGACATGTTCGGGCTGAACTCTGCAATGACGGCGGTTGCGAGATGCAGCAAGTGGGCCGAGGGCGGTGCAGCACGCCTTGAATCGAAAGAGAGACCACGCAGTGGAGTTGTGCACGTTGGACATATATATATATATATAATCGAGTTTGTGACGAGTTTCAGCAAACTAAGGCAATCCTCACAGAGATCGGATCGGCAAGTTTAGAAGCCGATGAGCTTGCGATAAGCACGTTTATGGCTTCGTGCAGCTCGCGCCGGCAGTGGGTGACTGCGCTGATATTGCTGCCTTCCTTGCTGCAGCTCGCCCCAGCTGGTTCCTTTTGTCAGTGTAAAGTATATAGCGATCATTGCCATGATGACTAGAGTCGTAGCAATCGCAACCGTTTTTGCAACAGCATCCGTAACTGTAAGAAGAAATGGAAACAGTTCGGTTAAGGCCTCTATCCCAAAGCCGAAGCCCCTCTTATACATGGTTGGCTTGGCTTGCAGGCAAGATGACCGGGAGCTGGAGGTGGCTGCGATGTGTACAGTCAGGTGATATTCGTCATGTATCCACCATCACTTAAAGCACCAAAAGGCACCCTCTTCTTTCTGAAATGTCTAGTCAACGAAGATTCTTCAACTTAGTCGAGCGAATGCATTTTGTCGGCAAAGCTACAACGTTTTGTCGGCAAGGTCGCTGCAGACAGCAAGTGGAGGGAACATGTTTAGAGGGCAACTGATCTTATTGATAAGTGGCTACGCCCAGGATGACATGGGACATTCGGGTAGCTGGGCACATCTCCACGCCTAGCTTGGCTTCGATTAGACATGCTAGGGGCCTGAGACCAACTGCAAGCTGTCCAGGGCCATGATGCAGGGCCCCTGGCGGCTGCCCTGGCCGGGATGGTTTCTGCATGCCAGGGCCTCGATGCTTCTGGCCCGGTTCCTGGGCTGCTGAGTCGACTTCGCTGGGAACTTACCTCGGCCCCTTGGCCCTGGATAGCTGTCAGAAGCTTTAGAACTTTAGGGCTTTTAGGATTTCACTTGCAGGTGTGGGAGTTTGACATTGTAGATACCTCATGCATTGTTGTGGATATGGTTGCTCAGGCTTCCTGACATGGGGTTCCCGATTCCTTTGCGAAAAACTTTGCACAGCTCTGTACACTTGCAGAAGCTCCAAGCCAAAACCCTCTGAAGCAACGAGCGGAAACAATATATGATTCATGAGTATGCGTGTCTCGTGGCCAACATCCCCGGCCTCAGGCAACGACAAGACTCCAAAACGATTCACGAACGCAAGTGCCAGAATCCTGGG